AATGCCGAGTTAGTGTTCAGTGGGTCAGAGTTTCAGGCTGGGAAGGTGAAGAAATTCTGGAGATGGATGATCATACAGAAGTGTGAATATACTTAATGCCATTGAACTGTACACTTGAAAATGATTAAAATTTTATGTTACATACATTTTGCCACACATCAAAAAAATCAGTTGTCAAAAAAAACTAAAAGAAATATAAACAGCCCAAATGTCCGTCAACTGATGAACGGATAAACCGTGGTATATGCATACAATGGAATATTATTTGGCAACAAAAAGGAATGAAGTTCAAGGGTGAACTTGCTACAGCATGGGTGAACCTTGAAATCAGGCTAAGTAAAATAAGCTAGTCACATAATATATGAGTCCATTTATATGCAATGTCCACAACAAGCAAATCTGTGGAGACAGAAAGTAGATTAGTGGTTGCCATGGGATGGGGAGGGGAAAAATGGGGAGTGACTGCTAATGGTTATGGAGTTTCTTATTGGGGTGATGAAAATATTCTGAAATGAGGTAGTGGTGATGGTTGCATAGCTCTGTGAATATACTAAAACCCAGTGAGTCGTACACTTTTAAGCAAGTGAGTTTTATGGTATGTGATTTATGTCTCAGTAAACTTTATTTTTAAAAAAGGTGATAGTGTAAGCTGTATGAGGAGGGATGGCATTGTGGATTGGAAGGTAGGTTTCTCTTCCTGGATCCAAGTATCTCTGTCATCTTGGCCCAGAATTTTTTAATTCCACCATTGGATCTGATATTGATCTTTTTCTCTGTATGCCATTGCTTTGCTTTGAGGTTTCTCTTCCAGAGGGAGCTAATCAAAACCTTTTTCCTTTACCATGGTTTGGTACACATTCCTTAATATTTTATTTTGGACAGGAGGAAAAGGCTTACATAATATCATAGAAACATGGAATTTGGAAAAGACTATTGTTTTAGATGGTCAGGAAGCAAAATCTCACCTTATTTTTTAAATACATTTTTTTTTGATTATTAGCTGATTTTACCCTTTATTTTCTTACTGCATTTCAAATCATTTGGTTCTTAGTGAACCAGAGGGAGAAACATGGAAATATAACCAAGAAGGATGAGACTCTCTCTTTGTGTGACGTAGTCCATATTACTTTAATGTACTCAATATCTTTAATATACTGATCTTTATTCAAAACCATTTGCCTAAGTTTTGAAGATCAGAAAAATCAGTTTTAAATTAAATATTAGTAGTAACATGACCTTTTGCTTCATTCAGGTAACTTATTAAATCGTTTTGAGTCTCATAGGATTGCAAGAAAAAGAAATCATCGTTATTTAAAATAATGTAAATACTTGAGTTGTCAGGTTTTTTTTAACTTGACTATATTAATATGGAAATGATGTGCCACAGTTTGTGTCATGAGAAGGTTGAATTGATGCACTTATTTCAAAGGTGATAGTATGTAAATCTGAAATGTTAACAGAAGAATGTTAGTCGTGACTCACATTCTTCAGTGGAATAGTATCTTGATTTCGTTATTTTAAAATTTCTCTTTAGTTGTTTGGCAAAGTTGAATTTATCCAGTGAAATTTCTTTAAGTTTGAGCTATAGAATTACCTTTGAAACTTTTTCCCTAACATATCTTGTAGGTAATTGGAACATTAACACAGTTAAAAAATAATTCATTAAAGATAAGGTGTAGTGGGAGTTCCCTGGTGGTCTGGTGGTCCAGATTCCACACTTTCACTGCCGGGGCCCTCAGTTCCTGGTCAGGGAACTGAGATTCCACAAGCCACATGGTACAGCCAAAAAAAAAAAAAGAGGATAAGGTATACATACCAAAGCATGATCTGTGATACTGCACATAGGTTGAAAATACTTATATTTGAATATAATGTTAAGGAACTGGTTATGTATAACACTTTTATACTTTAATTGATAGCATTATTTATAATTGATATTTTAACATGCCTAACTTTCCGATTCCACTGAGACCTTACTATCTGAAAGTCCTGATGCCTCATCCCAAGGACTTGAGCCTTTACTTGCTTTTGTCTGGTGCTTGTGCTTCCATGCTGATTTTTTCCTTATTATTTAACATAATTAATACCTAGTTGGGCATCGACAGCCTTTAACAAATTGAATATGTTGCCTTTTGATATCATGTAGCAAAGGATAGGTCTACCTTATTAAAAACTGTATATATTGACTTAAATCAGCCAAATCTGAAAATTAAAATATTGTTTCGCATTCTTCTGCTGATATTTCGGGACTAGTAGGGTCGATAAGCACTTGAAGAAATCGGTATCTTTAGGAGTATTGATATAGCATTTGGATATGCCATTGGTATTTATTAGCAATCCTTACATTATGTAAATGTCCAAATGTATTATTAAAACATCTTGTAGCTTTTTAGGTTAGTAATTGGGAGTCAGTTTTAGGAGATAAATCAGGACAGAGGTAGGGATTTGGGTGGGATGTGGCAGAAAGCCCATTTAGACAGCTGCGAAGTTGTGATAGAAGTTGTAGTGTCTCATCTGTTGGACTAGATTAGTCGCTTTCAAGCTTAATAGGAGAGGAACTCTTTTGAACTGAAATCTTACGTGTTTTAGGAGTTGAAGTTCCACGAGTGATGAAGGAGTTTCTTAGGCAGTTTAAATCTCCGTTGGGGTGAGGTGGAGTGGGGAGGTGATGGTCTATTGTTTATGGGACCCCCAAAGCACTTCTGCAAGGATGTAGGGTGCTGTGGAACATAAGTGCTTTCAGCTCTATGATTTTAGCCTGTGAAACTGATTTTATTTGTTGTACCTTACCTATAAATTTGATGATGTTATAAAGGTTTATCCTGGAAACGTTGAATTCTCAATTTATTTCTTGCATTTATGAAGTCTTTCATTTGTGTGGTCCTGTAGACCACTTCTTTTCATGCTGTAGGTTTCTACCTGAGCTCTGCTCAAATCAGGAATTAAGACTGTTGCAACTAACTCCAGGCAGCAGTCTCCTATTTAGACCAGTGGTCTCTAAGCTTTTTTTTTTTTTTTTTTTTTTCTTCTGGCCGTGCCGTGCGGCATGTGGGATCCTAGTTCCCCAACCAGGGATCCAACCCCAGTCCTCTGCAGTGGAAGCGCACAGTCTTATCCACTGGACCACCAGGGAATTCCCCTCTAAGCTTTTTTTTTATAGTGTACCCGCTCAGTAAAAGAGAAGTTAAGTATGCAATACACATAAATTGTATACAAGTCCTAATATGTCGTACACATTAAAAATAAAACCGTTTTAGAAATTAAATAAGATTAAAAATAAATATAAAAATCATCTTCTTCCTGCTTCTAAGCAGATTGCTATACTTATCCCATTCTGGAGACCTTTAATGCCTTAGACTCCTTACTTTCTGTGTTATTCCAACTTTTTCCTTCTATAAGGGCTGGAGAGATGCTGGCTGCCAGAAGTTAGAGGATCAATAAGCAGGTACTTATTAAGGAAGCTGTGGGTGACACTGTTTGTTTATTTTTTTATGGCCATGTGGCTTGTGGGATCTTAGTTCCCCAAGCAGGGATTGAACCTGCGCCCTCATCAGTGAAAGCGTGGAGTCCCAACCACTGGACCGGAGGGAATTCCTGACACTGTTTTCATCCTCTTTATCTTGTGATTGATTTGGTATATACAGTTGTTTGTTTTTTTAAAAGAAGTAACAGCTCAAAGAGTCAGAGTCTGCAAAATAGAGGCAGTAATTTTAAACGTTTCTGATAACCTTAGAGCTTTGTACTCAGGGGTGTGCATATACTTGTGTTTTTTGAGGGTGTGGAGAGAAGCACGGGACCGCATTGTGGGTTTCCCTGGCCGTTACCATGCGTGGGACATCCCTCATCAGTCCTGGCTCTACAACTCCAACTACTCCTGTGAGCTGTCCATGGTGCTGACAGGTGCTGCCTTCTTCCACAAGGTAAGAAAAAGCTGGTAGGATTGACACGAACTTGGTAGGAGTTGAGCCTTTGTGGGGCAGTGAAATGCTGCTTTAAAGTTAGCTCTGCTAGTGCTTCTTATATATCCCTTCTCTGCTAGAGTTATTTCTGTTTTTAAAGACAGTGATCAAGATGATTAGAGCAACACTAGAATAAAAAGTCTGGATGAGAAGGCTGCCTGTATAATTGCATATAGGTCAATAGGAAAATCAGTATATCTTCCCGGGCACTGGTTGTCCCTCTGTAAAATTGAGGGCATTGGGCCAAAATGTTGTCCAGTTTCCCCACAACCATTCCAGACATGACCTGGTCAACAGAAGGCTGAACCTGGCCCTCTTCTGACTCAGCCACCTCTATCCCAAGCCCCACCACAAACCTTTGTCTGTTAGGGCTCTGCAAGTTCTAGTTGATTCCTTAGAGCTCTTAATTTTCATGTTGCCTCACATCCTGGTTTTCGTTGAAAATTCACTGTGCAAATCCTTCCAGTCATTACTCCTCTCCTGTTGTCACTGTTGTCGCTAAACTGTTCTGTTTTCTTGCTCCTGACTCATCTTCCCTCTACATGTCACCTGTTCTGTAAAGTAGCCACTGGCCACATGTGGCTACTGAACACTTGAAATATGATAGTCAGTGTTGAGATGTGCTCCACGTATAAAGTACATAGCAGACTTTGAAAACTTAGCATGAAAGAAAGAGTG